GGTGCAACCACTATTGAAGGCAGTATGGTGCTTTCTCAAAAAGTTGAAAATAGAAATACCATTTGACCCAGTTATTCCAATACTGGGAAAATACCCTAAAGAAACCATAAATACCACTCAAGCATGTATATGCACACCCATATTATCTATTGAGGCTTTGTTCACAATACCAAAGAGTTGGAAACAACCCAAGTGCCCATCAATAGGCAAATGGATAGAGAAAATGTGATCTATGCACACAATGGAATACTATGCCATGTTGAAAAACAAGGAACTCATGAATTATTAGACAAAATGGGTGATCCTAGGGGACATTATACTGAGTGAAATATCTCAGTCACAAAAAGACAAATATGACATAATGCCACTGTTATAAAACAGGACTGACATGGGGGCTGGTGGAAAACAAAGAAAAGAGGGGATACATAATTTACATGGCATTGAAACAGCCAAGGGAGAGAACTGTATAAAAGGAATATATTATTAGGTAGTATTGACATTGGTCGCTATGAGTCGGAAACGACTTGAGGGCACATAACAACAACAACAACAACAATATTGACATTACACGAGTACATAACAAAAGCTGCATATTAAGTGGTCTGGGGTGGGCGTGAGGATCTGTATAAAAGTGAAAGAACTTTTTCCCAAAGAAAAAATGGATCGGGGATGGGCGGCAAGGCCAGGAGGAAAATGTGCAACAATGAACAACTGGAAACCCAACTTCTTTCTAAATTTTCGTTACATTTTCTTCTAAAATTTCATTAAAATCTCAATTAAAAAAAAAAAACAAGTACTGCATAATACCATTAAATAGAAGGATAAAAAATAGGATAACTAGTAAAACATTTATGGGGCCTTAAAAGTGGAAGGGATGAATGTGAAGGGGTGAGAATAGGATGAGTAGGGGTGAAATCACCAGATTTTACAATTTCGTGGGTAGAGTGAGGGGGTGAAGGAAATATGAAGGATCCAGTGAGACCTGAAAATACAGAGTAATGATGGGCAAGGTCCAATGGGTTGTACTCAACTTGAAGTGATCTAACAACAACAATAGCATGTTGCAACTGGATATTATTCAATAACAACATAGCCATTATATTGCATACTGTATGAAACTGAGGAGAACATAAAGTGCTTGCTGCAGAATATCAAGAACTTCAATCTTCAATATGGATTGAAGCTCAATATCAAGAAAACAA